CTTTTAAGTTCTAGTGTTCAAGTGAAAGGAGTAATCCACGTTATTTACTCTTTTTAAAAGAATAAATAGCACAGATTATGCTTTTGAGGTTCGAAAGTTACTCTTTTGGGTTTAGAGTGTAAATTGTGCTAGGTAGAAAAAGTTAGGGCGCCACCACGCGAGTACGCCTCGTGAACCATCAAAAATAAGTTGTTCAGCTCATGGTATTGAGCATACGCACGCACAAGCAGATACGAATTGAATGGCTTCTAGCAGATTACAATATCGATCTGCGCATCGCAGATTCTCGCGACACATGTTCATCTCTTACAGGTGATGTTTGTCGGCTACTTGTAAGCGGCTGTTATGCGTGTACTTAACCTATTTTAATACATATTTGCGGTTAGATCAATTCATTTTAGTCAGAACACGAAGTGTCCCTTTACAAAGTACTGATTTGAAAGTGCCCATGATAGTTTAATCAATTTCAAAGGGTATAAAGGGTCCTATAAAATATACAGCAATTATTGATCTTGAACTTGCTTATTGCAAAAAGTACAAATATCGATTGCAGTGGGCAATTTAAAGGCATCAATGTAGGCTGGCACAGCGTGGATTAATTATCGAGAGAAATTTCTGCTAAGGAAACATCATAATCTATGACAGTAAAAAGAGCTTCTGTGCGCGATAAGGCGTCCTCAACGCTATTGTTGTTGTCAGGAACATAAGTAATGTCAACATCGAACATAAACAGGTGCTGGAAATGTCTAGTGCGAGCAGAACTTTTTGATGCTTTTGGTCAAGTGCTTGCAAAAGTGGTTTGTGATCAGTACGCAGAATAAAGTGACGCGATTTGACAATGTAATGGAAATGCTTGATCGCCTCAACTGCCGCTGTCAGCTTGCAGTCATAGGTAGAATAGTTTTGTTGAGCATCGTTAAATTTTTTGGAAAACAATGAAAAATGCTTCTAATGCCCTGAGTTGAATTATTTTAAAACAGTACCTGTTATGCGCCAAATGATCAAAGGATTAGTTATGCGTAATATTAATATATTTATGGGCCATATCACATCAACCGTGATAATCAAAAAAATGAAATTGAAACAAAGTATGTACTATTGAAGAGTACATTTGAAAATGAAAATCCTGAAATTTTTAGATCTCTGAGTCCATCCTTCATAAATTTTTAGGGTCTCAAAGTTGAAATTTGATTTTTCAAATTTTATTCTCATTTCCTAGGGTAAGTATGAAAAAATTGTTGAAACATAAATTTTCGAGTGCGATTTGATGAGAAATTCAAATTTGTTGTCAAAAATCATATTAATGAGCTTCTGCTCCAATAAAAGGCAAAAATAGCATAAAAGTAAAAAAATAAATGTGTTCGTCTCCAGCGATTAGGCCAATATTGTAATATGTTCATCGATGCATCAAAATACAACTTCTGATAAAGTTTGTTTATGATTGAAACAATAGAAATCATCATTAAATATAATTTATATATTGAAAGGTAACGTGGCCTTTACGATCACTCACAGCGTATATTTCTCTCTTACCTCGCTGTCTCATACACGCGTGAGTTCTACGGCACTGTCCCTTCTGACGCGCGCTGCGAGCTGCGTTCCAATTTCATAAATTTTGTTATTATTGATATGTGAGGGGGTTCATGAAACACCTTAGGACTAGTAATTTATGTGGAGAATAATCGGTTTTTATTCTTTAAAAATATTCACGCGAGTAATAAATAAATAATGACTCTAATGCAATCAAGTGTTTCACCGTTTTTTTGGATTTCGATCTTCGCACTATCGCATAACCAACAAGTGGTATGTACGGTAGCAGAAGGAATTATTTCCTTCATTGCACTACGAATTTGCTTATTCACGAGTTTCGTGAATACTCCCGTACAGGCGCGTACTCGCTACACGCTCTCGTGCAACGTTTGCCTACTGCTTCGAGGCGCGTCGGCAGAAGGGCGTGTCTAAGGTGTGGAGATGGAAGGAGGGGTCTCACTGGCAGAGCACACACTGATGCTGCGTGCATTGGTAGGTTAAACACGAAGCGTAGATGACCACATGCTTCGCTTGTGCACTCTGCTACCACGTACTGGCGTGCTTGCAGAGCGCGTACAGGTTAAGCCTTGTGGTATCGCATGTCTATCGTAGATAAACGACTTGATACGCGAGATGACCGAAACCAATGGAGCGTATTTATGAAAGGAAATACAATACTTGCATTTGTGCCGGAATGTAGGAGAGTCTCTTTCGCGATCTCTCTTTTCTCACTCTTTCAGGCAGGTCACGATGGAGCTACGCAGTCACACTTCGCTTTCTGCATCAGAAAGGAGATTGACGTTGATATGAGGCTGCCACTACACTTCACTGCAAAAATCACTTTACGACTTGTGACGCGTCACTTCGCCTCGGTCGCGCATACACAAGTGTGAGTTGCGTTTGATAATTGCAGACTGCCTCACGCGTACGTAAGGCATCGTGCTCGTTCGCATCGGCGATTTCTAGCAGCATTTATCGAGTAATCTCGAAGCAAATGCATTACTTGAGCTTTCGCTTTTGCGATCGTACACACAATGTGGGGGGATGGACGCACTGCGTATGGCACGGGTGTGTATTGGTTGCTTGTCTGTTTAATTCAGAGCAAGTCCCATTTTTTATATTAAAATTACCTTATGCCTTGGGGCTATTTTGCAGCCCGAGGCTGTGAGAAGTTCACTTGAATTTTATTTGGAAGTTTACACAAAAATGAATAGGCCAAGTCAGTCCAGCGAGCGGCTTTTATTGGTGCGCGCCGCGCCCCACTCATTCGCTCCATTCGGCAGCGTCACGAGAGCGCCGTATGCACTTCTGTGTGTGAGAGAGAAAGAAGGTGTGGGACCGCTTCGTGGGGGCTCAAGCCAGTTGTCCCTCCGCGTAAGGTGGGGAGTCCGACGACGGTTGCCCGGCTTCTTCTCCATCGAATACTCGATGTACGCGCTTTTACGCGCAACTGGTCGGGATTTTTGATTTCTTCTGTGCTAACGGCCGTTTGTACCCTTAGCTACCTTGCAATATATACTGTTTTTTTGTTATCGGGCTCTATCCTTTTTATACAGAAGGGGCCTCTCGCCACGAATTGCAAGTGAAGAATTAGGAACTGGGAGAGGAAATATTAATATTAATGATGAATAAGATATGTCAGGTGCTAGAAAAAAATGTTCTCAAATACCCAGCATAAAACAGCGCCCATAGTAAAGTTCGATGCATCTAAACAAATACGAATTGGTGTAGAGTCATCGGGAAAGGCCAGATAAGCTAAGTCTGCGAGTAGATTTTTGTAATTCTTAAATGCACTGATTGAGTTAGCTTGGCACGCGATTGGTAAATTGTCTATTTCTTATGACCAGTAAATAATTTTTTCAAGGGAATCTGCCCCTCTACTAAAGGCGGAATGCTATCATGAAAAAAATTTATCATTCCCAAGAAACGTCGTAACTGATCCACTGCCTGAGGTTTAGGAAATTTGGTTATTTTACTTATTTTACTTTTTTTTTTTATTTTATTTTACTTTTTTTATTTTAGCTTCAGATGGCTAGCGCTTATAACTGATTTCATTGATAACGAAGCCCGAGAACTCTACTTCGTCTTCGTCTGAAACAGAACTTATCGATGTTGATTTGAAACAAAATTCACATAAGCGTTTAAGCACAGTCTGATGATGCAATTCATGTTCTCCCAAAGAAGAGAAGGCGATCAAGTTATCGTCTATGTAAACGAACGTATGCGGCATGTCTCTTAAGGCTGCATCGGCGTAACACTGAAACGTTTGCGCAGCAATACGCATGCTAAAAGCCATGACGTTAAACTCGTATAAGCAAAAAGGCGTTATAACGGCTGACTTAGGTCTATCTTTAGGTGTCGAGGAAATGTGCGTTTTGAAGATCGAGAGCAAATATTCGTGCCGATTGAAATAGAGGCAAAATTGTTCAATAGTTTGACGGGGTATTAATATGGTATAATGACTGAATTAAATCTCCGGTAATCTCGTCATATACGCCACGTGCCATCTTTTTTCTGAACCATTTGTAAGAACTATTGGGGGTAATGACTATTTGAAGGAGTGACTAGTCCTTTAGATTACAAGTCAAGAAAATGATCTGTAGCAATTTTGAGATTATCAGATGGAAAACGGCATACTTTATCAGCAGTGGGTGTATCTTGGGTAGTAGAATGCTGTGGCAGTGTTAAGCACTTCCTGTATGGCGTCGATATTTGACCTTTCTTCGTGGAAACCAAATTGTGAGTCTGCTAATCTAGTAGGATCCTAAGTGTAAGCCTCTAGACGACTAACAATGATCCTTTCCAGGATCTTGCCCGTGGTGTCTAGCATACACAACGGGTGGTACAACAAGGGCTCCGATGCTGGCTTGCCTGGCTTTAACATCAGGACAAGCCTTTGACGCTTTCAGCGCGCGACCAACGTAACAATATACTGTACTGTTTTTCAACAATTATTACTATTTACTCATGTTTTTTGTGTCTCTCATCATTATAATTATTATTATCGACATTGTCATCCCCAGCAGTCGCCAACTGATCAACAATCACCAGAGTTTTCGCGTTCCTCTCACTCGCTCGTTTTTCCTATTTGTTGTTTGTGTGGTGGATGATCATCATTTTGCCTCGAGCATTTCTTCTGTAATCTGAAAATGGACGAAACTAATTTGGTCAAACGTAGCTATGTATCGGCCAACTGGCTATTGCAATCCGAACAACCAGTTTTTTGCTTATTCTTAATAAATAAGTTCCAACAGATTATTTGGTATTAGTTATATTATAATTTTTCATAATTTGGCTTATCGATTAAACCTGCTTTAAGTGTGTGGAGACTTTCTGTACTTTTCCAAAGCTAATTTATAAATTTTCAACAATTTATTATAACGTTTCCAGCTTTTTGGAAAAGTCTGGTAACCTATTTTATTTTTACAGGCAGACGCAATTTTCAATAATAATAAAGAGCTAGAAAACAATAACTTTAATACTTTGAGCGATGATATTTATTTAGATGATCAGGATGTATCTGAAGGTTCTGGACGGGGAGGAGGAGAAGTTCGAGACGATTTAGAAGCATCAGGTAGTGGTCTCGGACCTGATGATGAAGATGGAGATGAAAGAGGTAATTATTAAAAAGTTATCTTTGTTAGATTAATGCATATTAATTTGAAAATATTTTAACCAATGTATATAATCTAAGTAAGTAAAAATAAAATTTTTTAAAGTACATGATTAGAGAGAAATTTAGCTACGAACTAATTTTTCAAGGTTAGAGTATAGCAAGGTCCATAATAGTCATGCCAGAAAGTTTCCTTTATGGCATGAGTATTTTACGCGATTTAATAGCATTGTGCTAAGCTTAAATCAATGTTTCTTTTTTTTCAATAGATGTGGTGACTCACTTCCAGTCAGTCACACAAGTATAATTTAACTAGTTGCAATTGATAAATGTTCAACTTTTGTTTATCGTCACCAGGAGATAAAAATATGAATTGCTAGAATTTAGCTTAGCTGGTGGCTTCGAGACGAGCAAGTCTCCAATAATAAAGCTCCTCCTTCATTAATAAATAGTTTTAGTCTTTGCCTTACAATCCTACCACTGGGTGACTTGCGACTATACATTGAATCTTAAGTAACTTACGAGTGTCAAAGATCAATTTCGATTGCCGCAATTTTTCCTCTTGTCTTGCTTTTGACATCCGACATTCACAATGGTTCTGGACGGCGATGGCGATCGCAATCATCACGACAGCTCAAGCAGCATCACCCGTAGCAACAACGCCTCGAACAACAGCAACAGCTTGAACAACAACGCCTTGAGCAGCAGCGAGCTTGTTAGGAGTCGAAATCTTCAGCATCTCACTATTTAAGTGCAGCGTATCACCGTAAACCATTTCGCTAGCAATCGATGAGATATCCTCTTTGAAGGCTGAGCGAATACCAAGCAGAACGAGAAGAAGAGCTTCGAGCCAATTTTCATGTTGATGAGCCAAAGCGATGCTTTCAAGTGTCGATGCAAGACCTCAACAATCCCGTTGCTTTGCGGATGCCAACTACTGATGTGACGGAGCTGAATACCAAGATGTTTGGCTATATATGTGAACAGGTGAGCAGTATAGCCAGGACAGCCAAAATGCAACATCTAAGCCTGAAGAAAACCTGTGCATATAGCCTCGATCGATGTATCCTTCAACGGCAGCACTTCAGGCCAGCGAGTGAAGCGATCGATGATGGTCAAACAATATTTGAAGGAATCCACAATAGACAAGGGACCAATGAAATCGATGTACACATGTGAGAAACGCTGCGTTGTATGTGCAAATTAACCCAACGGCGAATGTACATGTCGAGTGACTTTCGACTCCTGGCAGGAAATGCATGAACGGGCCCAAAGTGTGCAGTCCCTTCTCCTCGAAGGCCAAATGGAACGGTAGCTTAGCATCTTGTATGTCCTTTTGATTCCTAGATAATTCAAACCATGAATCAAATCGAACGCCGCGTGCTGGAACGGAGCCTTGAGGAAAGGACTTTGCTTGCTGGTTGAAACATCGCAGTAAACAGAAGTGTGTAGTCCAGGAAACTCATTCTTCTGTCGGTGTAGAGATGTAAGAAGATCGTTGAGGAAACTCTTCAAAGTTCTTCGTAATCGATCGACGAGAAGGCTTCTCGAATCCTTTGATGTATACTATCTCAGTTGAAAACTACGAGATGAACGACAGCTGATTCAACTGAATTGGTGGCAACTTCTCCTTCTTCAGCATGAATGCGTGGATCAAAGCCTCACTCATTAATAAATATTTATAGTCTTTGCCTTACGTTCCTACATATGTATAAAATATTTATTAGTTCCACCAATCAACACTTTTTTTGTATATATAGTGCATGTTTAGTATAAACACGTGTAGCTTTTTATTAGAATAGTTGTATCACCTTTTGGAGGCTCGAGTACGTGTAGGTGTTATACAATCGCGCTTTCTCTTTACGCAGTGTGCATGGTGCATGACGCTAGCGTGACGCTATCTGGAATCAAAGTTTCAACTCTTTTAATTACAACAACTTTTTACATAGAGTCACTCGACCAGTGATTGAAAGGTTTAAAAAAATTCTGCTTTCAAGCAGCTCGGATGCATGTTTTTAGTCAATTTTAGGTAATCGAACCAATAGTTTGTCAAAGTTCATACCTTCCTCTACCTATTAGAATTGGATCCCCTCCCCCCCACTTTTCTGACTCTGCTTTAAGGGGACATTCCCATTGCAAATTGTAAAAAATCACTTTTTAAATTTTTTTTTTTTTAAACTATAATTTTTATTTATTCCGGACCTTTTGGGTATTGTTTCTTACATATTAAACTACAAAAAAATTTTTTTATGGGACTTAAGACCCATCTTATTGGCTGTAGACGTAATTTGCTGAAATCCGTGTTTCGGCTCTTAGCAGCGATTGAGAAAAAACTACTGGTCCGATCTTTACGTTTAACGTCTCGTTTTAATCTTTACAACTTTCTCTAGAAGACTTTGGCACGAGTTTTTCTTAAAAAAATGCTCTTTTCGGTGGTTATGGGGGTGAATTCACCCCTATAAAAAGAATTGGGGATGATTTTTTCAACTTTTTAGAGGTTTGTCTTCTAGAGAAAGTTGTAACGATTAAAACGAGACGTTAAACGTAAAGAATGGACTAGTAGTTTTTTCGCAATCGCTGTCAAGAGCTGAAAAAATGTAGTTATGAGAAAAACGCGTCCGATGTTTTGTTCTGTACATATCGAGCACGCTAGGCGCTTCGTGTAATCGGGCATAACTTTTTTTCCTTTATGAATTTCGTTCTAAAATTTTAACAGGATATTTTTATGATGTCAAAGAACGTTTTAACGTAAAAAAAATATTATTCTTCTAAAATCTGAAGAGAAAGGAATTATTAATTGTCGACCGAAATGTATTATCACTGACTTCGAGTTGGCAATTATCAATTCTTGTACCCTCTTTGGGCTATATGACATTGAACAGGCTAAGGCCTGTGTACTGCATTAAAATATTTAACAGATAAATATCATACCAATAATTAGGCTAATGCCCGTGTAATTCATCCTCTTTACATATGATATTGCCAGGACAAAGTCTGGCCCTCGTGTAAAAATACTTACGTATGATACGTGTCGCTAAGCCCGTGCCTGCGCGAACGCATAATTTTTCACGTACATTACTTCTCTGACATCGCCAGGATAGGGCCTGCACGATGTGTCCATTAATTAAGTATGAAGAGTCTCATATATAACACCAGAAAAGAACCTATGCCACTCATCAATATTGATGTAGCTGATTGCCAGGTTAATACCTGCGCAATGCATTAAAGTTTATGCATATAAGCTGTACAACATTCCAGCCTGTACAAAGCCCAAATGTCCCTTCATGATAAGGCCATGCAAGTCTTATGTGGTGATTAAAAACATTGTTCATGTATAGTATTAAATATACTGCATTGCTAGGTTAGAGCTTGTACAAAGTACGAGATGCTCACATTTGATGAGAATCGTACGTATCGCCAGATTAGAACTTGTGCGGTTCATTGATTATTTGTATATAGTAATAAAGAATATTATAAAGAATGTTGCGTGGATGTCCTGCGCAACTTAAAAATGCACTAGTACAAGATGCACTCTACGTACCGCCAAGGTAGCGCTTGTGCGATACTTTATGTAACTTATGTAATTACCACATACCGTCAATGTACAGTATTGTCAGGACATAACCTGTGCAATGTTCAAGAAGCTCACGTATAAGAAGATTATACGTATAGACAGGTTAAAGCCTGTGCGAAGTATTTACGTATATATAATCGAAAAATATACGAAGTTGCGAGGATGTCTTGCGCCACTCGCAAATGCTCAGGTGACCTGCGTTATACGCATTGTCAGGAAAATGCCTGTGTGATGCATCATTTGTGTACATCAATGTACAATGTTATCAGGATATTGCCCCGTCTGCAACCGAGGCGCCCCCACCTTGAAAGCATTTCTCATGTTATTGCTAATTAGGAGAAATTTAGAACGGTGAGCTCTGCTAGCATAATTTTCATTTTCGTACGAAAAAATGGACTTGAACATTTATTTCCTATTTTTCCTAGTGAACGAGTAAATTATCGAAAAATCCGACTACACCACGTGAAAGCTGAGAAAAAAACGCATAAAAATCATATTTTTAATTATTTTTCTAGTTTAATTACATGGTCATTTGTACGAGTTGCGATTACAGCGAGCCGCGAGTCGCGCGTTTGGGCGGCCGGACGAGAATCGATACCTGATTTTTCAATGAAACTTCAAACGCCTGTAACTTTGGTTCTAATGAACGTAAATAGGTTTTATTACCCTCAAATTAAAGGTCTTGATCTCAACTTTGACGTGAATATATTTAAAATGATCGTTCATGCTTAGTTTTGCTGTAAAATATCGAAAAACCACGCCAACATGCTGTTTTTCTTCATTTTTTGAGTATATCGTGTGTGCAAAATCCAAAATTCTTTTCGGAGGGTTCTCGTAAGTATTGGTTACTCATTATGGGTGTACCAGGAAGTGAAAACTGTCGCTAAACCCAAGGTTTAGCGATTTTAAGTGGTTTAAAACTTCAATTTACATTTTTTTTAAATTTTCCCATGTTATTTAAATGGGAAAAAAGCTGACGCGTGTGGCACTATCTAGAGTTAATTAATCACGGTCGGACAGTGATTTTCTTTCATTGTGAGCCAAATGATGAACTTTCAAGGGGTGAGAGCGAGAATTGGAGCAATTCGGGAAATAACGGACAGTCTAATGTACAGCATTGACAGGTTATCCTGAGCAATGCGTAAGATGCTGCTACGATTAGAGTTGTACGTATCGCCAGGTTAGAGCCTGAGCGATGCACCGATGACGACGTATATTATAAATATACAAAGTTGCGAGGCAACCCCAAATGCTCACGTATGAATAGGTCATACGAATCGCCAGGTTAGTGCCTGCGCGATGCATTGTTATGTGTGTACATCAAATGTACAGCATTGACAGGTTATCCTGAGCAATGCGTAAGATGCTCACGTACGATTACAGTCGTACGTATCTCCAGGTTAGAGCCTGAGCGATGCACCGATGACGA